ATCTACCTGGTACATAATTATGAGTTGTAGTGTACATAGGATTAACTAGTTTCAAATAATGTCTAACAAGTTTTTAAGTTAAACAAATTTGTCAAAATGTTCATCTCTCTCTCTCTCTCTCTCTCTCTCTCTCTCTCTCCTTTCTTTTTATGTAACATTTAAACTATGTTATCAATTATACAAATATTGATTAATGAATAATTATTTACAAAACTAATGCCACGACAATCGCTCACCCATTTGTAAATGAATTGAATATTATTTAAACAAATGACAAATGTTTGCAACAAATTGAGTAAATTATTAGTAATTCTGTAAACATTGCAATAACTTGTTAATACACTAAACGCTAGAATTGGTGGTGTTTTCAAAGTAAATGTTTGCATATTATACACCTTTTTTAACATTTAAATATAAAGATATACTTTAAGACATAAACACGTATACAGGCATACAATCATATGAATAATATATAATATACAAAGTGTAAAATACTTACAAGTTTTCGAAAATCCTCTTCACTTCAGTCCGTCCGACGAGATTGAGATAGAAAGTGAAGAATACATTGATTGGTATTTTATCGGTAAGAATGGTGTCATTCTTTCCGGTCGGTAAACCGCATAATTCCAGAGCCCTTTCCACCCGTTTCTTGTCGTCACGATGTGTTGCAAACATTTTTATTATGCTATAAATAAAAATCATTGTCATATATGAATATACGCTATCAATAATAATAACAATATATAAAACACAATACATTTATTTAATAATTAATAAATTGAATCTACAGTTAGTTTTGTGTAATAATTTACACTCAAGTGCTGCTATGCTTTTGGATGGCTTTGCGCTTAAAATGTAATACATTTATGCATTAAATCAAAAAACCATAAATTTATGCAATCGTTTGGAAATAAACACTTCAAACAAGATTAATGTCTAAAGGAATCCAAACTATTGATCGGGTTTTGTGTTTTATATTTAAATATTACTCAAGAATAACAAAAAAACTAATTTTTTCCTATTTTCAAGTAAATGGACAAAAAGCAGAGAAAATGATTTGAAAACATGAAAAATATATACAAATATTCGTAACATGTTTTCAGTGTTCATAACGACTAGAATATAGTTAAAATAGCAAACAAGGTTTGCAACAAATTACAGGTCTTAAATACTATTCTGTGTATATTAAAGAATCACAATTTGTGTATTACTTACAAATTCTATATGAATAACATAATCCATAACAGAAACAATACAACAGAATCACATTTATTTACTACTGTTAACAATAGTAATTAATTTATAGGCCATATCATTATCACATCTAATAAATAATATTAATCATAAATAGCATTACTTTTGTTAAAATATGACCATAGGATTAACATGAACATTTTATGGATCAAACAAATCGCAATTTTCAATATGGAATTGTGGTTACAAATCATAGCACTCGCTCTCATTTGGTATAAATATATTGTATAAAATGTTTTATTCCGTAATACTTATATTTTTTATTAATAAAATTTCTATTATAATATACTTTTATAATCTGATATATTTTCTGGACTATATATTCCTTTGTATTTCTAGTCCTATACAAGACATGCGATCTTTAAAAATTGAAACTCAATTTTTTAATTTTAATTTTTATTAAAATTAAATTTCAATTTCAATAAAATTTCAACTTTTATAAAACACAAATTGTTTTGATATTAAAATGAATGCAAATTCTTTAGCTTTTTATTTACTTCTACACTAGAATTGAAAAAACTTGAGACTTTAAATGCATATAAATAATTAATTATGCAATAGTTATTGCAATTATTATTAAGATTTATACATAAACCTCAAGACTTAATCACAGTTCCATTTACTGTAAGTAATATTACATTTCAAACTATTAATGATTAAATTCCGGATTACCATTATCTATTATCATTTACAACTAGGAAAAAACGTTATGATATAAAAATAAAATATGTTTATATGAATAACATTAGTCGAGGAATAAAGAATCATCCAAACGTAAAGTACAGCCAAATAATAACACTCACGTCATGTTAATTGATATTAGGAAAAGGAGGGGTGGGCTCAGTATTGTACCAGAATATTGGCCAAGTGCTACATTATTTGCAAGTATTTAACATTACTACTAAAGAATTACAAATCTATTCATGAATTGATAATAAAATGAAATTGAAATTCATTTCTAAGATGTTTTCGCATTTCTAAAACAAATCTAAATATTTGTAAAGATATAACACAATCTATTCTTGAATAACAATATACTATATTATGCTCAAATATATGAGCCATTTTTGAACAAATATTTTATTAATTCAAGTTAATATTTTCAACCAAAATGCGCATAATTAATTACAATAACCAAGCTCACCATACCAAGTGTAGAACTATGACATTTTATAGTCTATAGATTCTGACTATTCTTTATCATGAGCAATACTAATCCTATGAGCAAAGGCATTGTATGGGTAATTCTATTTGTATGAATTAATTCTTATCATATGGACTAATAATACAACGTTTCGCAAAGCGAGTAGAATCGGGTAAAAGCGGGTATTTTAGGGGAACACACTTTATAATCAATTTATTATCATTTTTGAAAATTTAAATTATGTAACCATATAATGAAAGTACAAGTGTAGAACTATGACATTTTATAGTCTATAGATTCTGACTATTCTTTATCATGAGCAATACTAATCCTATGAGCAAAGGCATTGTATGGGTAATTCTATTTGTATGAATTAATTCTTATCATATAAACTAATAATTAAAGACGAGATTTTTCGGGAATTCCCGATTAAAATTAGTTAATAGAATGCTCGGGAATAACATCTATTTAGTCTTTGGGGTTATAATGGAGTAAAAATATACCACTTTTATTTTCCCGAATATTCCCGATTTTGGCACATTTTAAGAAAATTCCCGATTTTGGCATATTTTTGGAAAAACTCCCAAAATGTTACTATTTTATTAAAAATAGTCCCGGAAATACACTTTTTAAATCAAAATTTCAATGAATTTGCTAAATGAATACCAAAACCTGCTGCAAAGTTTACCTAATCTGCGATAAACTTATATTATACTACAATGTAATAGATAAAACCAATGCTTATAGATATGATGCTTCTTGACAATATAAAACATTGGATACAAACCGTATATTTATATACTCTGCAATTATGTTTACCTTAATAAATGTAATTATTTTGCGTCATAAGTGTACATAGACCTTTTTAGAATCACTTAATTGCATAATTATCTCTTGAAAATTCAGTATAAACGTAATTCCCGAATTTTCCCGATTTTGACCATGTATATTCCCGAATTTGAATGTTTTTACTCCCGAAAAATCTCGTCTTTACTAATAATACAACGTTTCGCAAAGCGAGTAGAATCGGGTAAAAGCGGGTATTTTAGGGGAACACACTTTATAATCAATTTATTATCATTTTTGAAAATTTAAATTATGTAACCATATAATGAAAGTGGTAAATAGTTTTAATTTAATGATTTTATTTATTTAAATTACAATTTTGTGCAAAAATATGATTTTAAAATCAATTGTAATGGCATTTGTGATACATGTTTGTATACTAATCACAATACAACAAAAATAATGCCTAGATACAAACTTAGTTTAATAAAATGTGCGCTGTTCTGGACTTACAATATAACACATAATTATAATGAAAAAATAA